ACCTGCAAACATTAAGGGATTTCAAATCCAATCTGAGTGTGGCTTCCTAGCAGTACAGTACACACAACTAAAATAACCTGCAAACATTATCATGTTTCCTACCAATTATTTGTATATATTGTATTGTTTTGTATGTTATAAATGTACACGTGGTTTATTTTTATATGTTTGGCGCATTTTCTCAGCATTTTAATTCCGTTTTGTTCATCTTTTACTTCACCTTTTACTATGAATACAAAACATTTTCTGATTTGCATACAACATAGTCAATTGATTGGGCAGTCGATATCGATAGCTTTGGGTTTTCCGTCTATTTTCAGGTTATTTCTAGATGATCGATAAATAGATTGTGTTTTCCACCTTGAGAAAATCTTAATATCGAATTCACCTTGAGACCTGCGAATGTAATATATTCACACAACCTTTTTTATGTTAAAACAATTCAAAACTGGTAATGTGTTCAAAAAGTTTAGCAAGTGTGAGAGACTCTCCAACTTTTCGAATGCGTTACTGGAAAACTACGTACACCTGCTCCGTGAAGCTCGAACTTTTAAATACGTTGCTGCATTGAAAGTTTTGTTAATATACAAAATACAAAGAAATTTGATACTTATGCAGTAAAAATGTTTCAGGGCTTGGTTTCCTCGAATTAGGGGGATTTGATGTATCTTCTGATGTAATCATATTTTTTTTAAGTAAAGCTCAAACTTTAAAACATAACTCAAGGTTTATTTTTCCTCATTATGCGATGAACACCAACTCCATCAACTCGCCTTGATGTTCGAATCATTTAACTTTTTTCAAACAAAAACGTGGAAGGCTGTCTTCTATAGATTTATGTGAATATATTCCAATGTCTCAATGCGCATACCTACATACGTATTAAGATTCGCAGAGTGTCTTAAGCCTGCTATGGCAACAAGCGATTTTGTAGATCAAAATGAAATACCAGATGGCGTTGTAGATTGAGGAGAAATTCACGACAATTTGGTAGCTAAGTTTTCCTAAGGAAAAAAAAAATCAATTTGTTGATCATCTCAAAGTAGTCTGAGAATAGACGCGGAACCCAAAGCCATCAATATGACTGTCCAATCGGTTGGTTATGTTGTATGCAAAGGAGAAAAGGCTTATACATTCATATAAAAAAAACCTACAGTTAGGGATCAATAAAACGAATATAAAGTGCTGGTAAAGTACACAAGCTATCAAATTAAAACCAAAAACAAATGGACATTTATTATGTACGAAACAAAACATGTAATGCGTTATACTTAAATGATTCATGCAAATTATGACGATAGCATTAGAAGACGTCATACATACATGATTCATACAAATCATGATAAGAGCATCAATTGTTTCGGGGTAACATAATATTACGTTTGTTGAAGTTGAATATCGTGATCAGCTTTAGAGTCTTAAGTATTTTATTTCAATAACTGCCCCCCCCTCCGTGTCAGAAAGGTATGTCTGCAGACTTACAATGCTAGAAACCGGGTTTCGACACCCGTGGTGGGCAGAGCACGGATAATCCATTGTGCAGCTCTGTGCTTAATTACAACCAATCAACCAAACTTTCAATAATTAAACCTACAACGTTTTAGCCTATAGGAACAGACAACGTATGCTTAACAGTAATTACAAATTCAAAGTGCAACGGTTATTCATGGCAGTGCACATGTTGAATTATAAGTATTAAACGTCCCGGGGGTGGGGGGGCTTACAATGCTAAAATTTGGAGTTCGATTCTCCGTGGTGTACACAGCAGATAGCCAACTGTGACATTGCTAATAATGACAAACACCAAACAAGTATTTAAGAAAGGTGACAATGATTATTTACAAAAGATATGAAAAATACAAAACACATAAAAATCAAAAATTGTAATGAGGGATTATATAGATAATAATTAGTAGAAATGAAGAGGAATTTCGAGGTAATTCATTATATTAAATGTTTAATTAAGGTTTAAATGTTTTAATCAGTACAGCTTCTCTAGTGCGGTTTAAATGTTTTAATCAGTACAGCTTCTCTAGTGCGGTTTAAATGTTTTAATCAGTACAGCTTCTCTAATGCTTCTTCTTTTTTATGTCAGTTTCATTTGATAGAATGTTTTTTAATGTTCAAAACCTAGGACCGTCCTTTCAAGTGTTCTTTTATTTCTGTGTTCGGTTCTTTTCCATTTTCGCTGAAATCAAATCGTTCACACGTGTTGCATTTGATTTCACACGGCAATTAATTCAACAAGAAAGTAATAACGTCATGATGGACCCACACTCAGGTTGGTGTACAAATAGTTTAGAATATTGATGGAGGGGAGAAGGGGCGGTCACGTGGACTCCATTCGTAATTTTAGGGTTACCAGTTCAAATATTGAAAATTTATGTTGGATATTTCACTGGCTATCTGGAAAACTATGAAAGCAAAGAAACGCTAGCTAATTCGTATCGTCGGCAATCCTTCGCGAGCGACGAATGGTCAGTGTGTAAACAGATTAATATTGTTAAGCTAGGTATAGTATATGTTAAGCGAATGGTCAGTGTGTAAACAGATTAATATTGTTAAGTTAGGTATAGTATATGTTAAGTGAGTGGTCAGTGTGTAAACAGATTAATATTGTTAAGTTAGGTATAGTATATGTTAAGTGAGTTGTCAGTGTGTAAACAGATTAATATTGTTAGGTTAGGTATAGTATATGTTAAGTGAGTTTTCAAACATGAAAGTTCACAATGGACATAATCATGTAGCGAGTCCCTACCGTGTCCGTCAGTTTTAGCCGAAATAGTCTGACTCGGTTCACTCTTTCCGACTTTGTTATAGGCCTCCAAGTATAAGTGGTAGGTGGCGCCACAATTCAAGGACTGGAGTGTATGACTTCTTTTATCTCCACGGAGGTGAGTCTGCTGCCAACCCTTTGTGTTGTCCATTTTGTGGTACATTATATATTCTAAATGTAAAACAATTCGAAGTTAAAAGGTGAGCAGAATTATTGAAGGTAAAGACTAAGAAAATATGGTATTATTTATAGCTTTCGCTAATAGGTATTACTATCATACATAGAAATAAATAAACAAATCAACTAATGATATTTACCTGAAACTGGACAATCTGGGTCGTTTGATGAATCCCACGTCACTGTAATAGATGTTGCTGTGGTAACAGATATTTTTAACACAGGTGTGGGAGGATGGTCTATGAGGGAAGGAGATATAATAAGATTTATCCAATTATATCAAATCCTAAAGTCAAAAGCTTGTTAACAGCTTGGTGCTTTTGAAAGTTTAGCCACAAGTACTTGGGTCTAAAAAAATATTAAAACTTTCAATAGCACATAAAAGAACATTACATTCCAATTTTATACTAATAACCCAAAATCTGAGTCGAAATTATTCTGAATGATGCTTGAACTAATGACGATAATTGTTTAACTGTAACTGAACTCAAATCATCTGTTTAACATATACTATACCTAACTTAACAATATTAATCTGTTTATACACTGACCACTCACTTAACATATGCTATACTTAACTTAACAATATTAATCTGTTTACACACTGACCGTTACATGATTATATACATTGTGAACTTCCATGTTTGAGTTATTAAGAACTAGTTACATGATTATGTACATTGTGAACTTCCATGTTTGAGTTATTAGGAACTCGTTACATGATTATATACATTGTGAACTTCCATGTTTGAGTTATTAAGAACTAGTTACATTAATTTTTTCTATAGAAACACCAAAAATATGAAATTCCAGAGGAAAAGCAGCAGTACGTATTTGACAGATTTAGCTCTAACATACATTAATCAGGAAATAACTCAAACATGGAAGTTCACAATGTATATAATCATGTAACTAGTTCTTAATAACACAAACATGGAAGTTCACAATGTATATAATCATGTAACTAGTTCCTAATAACTCAAACATGGAAGTTCACAATGTATATAATCATGTAATTAGTTCTTAATAACTCAAACATGGAAGTTCACAATGTATATAATCATGTAACTAGTTCTTAATAACTCAAACATGGAAGTTCACAATGTATATAATCATGTAACTAGTTCTTAATAACTCAAACATGGAAGTTCACAATGTATATAATCATGTAACTAGTTCTTCATAACTCAAACATGGAAGTTCATAATGTATATAATCATGTAACTAGTTCTTAATAACTCAAACATGGAAGTTCACAATGTATATAATCATGTAACTAGTTCTTAATAACTCAAACATAGAAGTTCACAATGTACATAATCATGTAACTAGTTCTTAATAACTCAAACATGGAAGTACACAATGTATATAATCATGTAACTAGTTCCTAATAACTCAAACGTGGCAGTTCACAATGTATATAATCCTGAGATTTGTTGTTTATCTAATATTTACCACTTTATTGTCGTTCATCCGTATTTAGCTGATAAATAGCGTCAAATAATTTTATTTTAAATTAAAAAACCTCTAAAAACACATTGTCTTCTATTTCAATTAATAACGAACCGAGTGAACAACTGATAATATAAATTTTATGTCTCAGAAATAAACATTTCACCAAGATCTTAATTCCTTTACAGGCTTGGAACTATAGTTTGTCAAAACACAAATCTTTCATTACTACAAAAACCTTGTAAAGGTAACAATAAGAACAAAATAAACTCAAACCAAAAATGGTAAAGTTCAAAGCCGTCCAGCTTGCAATAATGAACTTAATTTTGGAGTTTCAGAGAGTGAAATGTCAGCTGACGCTACGAAATCAACATGAAACATTTGTGTTCCGACTGAGTAATATAAGATATTCTTACTATACAGGCTATATAACCAATAAAGTCAGCTTGTTGTTAAAATAGTTATATATTTTTGAATATTAATGTCTAGGCGTATTGTGCATGTCTACGCTACATTTTGACATATTGTATCAATGATTCACATTCCTCTGTGAGTGCTCTGGGATTTTTACTTTTTTTTTACTTATCAATGCTAGCACCAATTGCTCCGGACAAACTGTTATTTCTTACCACCAACTCCACCTACATCGTTCTGCACTTAAACGCTTGGAGGAACGGAGGCTGTCCAATCAACTTTTTCGTCATCCAGTATAAACAACGTGAGCAGGTGGAGTGGACATTGGTCTCTAACAACATTCTGCCTGATCAGCAGGACATAATGGTCACGGATCTAAATCCTGGCATGTGGTATGCCTTATTGGCGTCTGCTCACAATGATGCGGGAATCACTGATGCCGAGTTTGTGTTTGCAACATTAACACCAAGTGGAGGTAAATTGAACTATATAAGATCACCTCGGCAACTGAATTAGTTATCTTCTTTACTTTGAGTTCATTAGTTTTCCATGACAACCGACTGTTGATCATCTTATTTAGTACTTGCTCATAATATTGAATCTCATAACTTCGCATCATCGAAGTTTAAAACAAAAAAGCATCGATTCTGTCCAGGATCGTGGGTTCGAACCCCGTCCAGATTCAGTTTTCTCTTCTTCATTTAAATATTTCTATTAGTATGAGCCTCCGTAATGATACTGAAATGATACTCCCCTGTAATTCAATGGTAAATCTGAAGGCTTACGACGCTAAAATTTGGGTTTCGGTACTCGTGGAGGGCATAGCACCTGTAGCCTATTGTGTAGTTTAGTGAAATAATTCAAACCAAATTATGAAAAGAAAAAAGCTATTAAGTCCGTTTTATTGCAAATTCTAAAAATATTTATCAAAAAAAAACTGCTCGTATTTCAAATAAGTAAAGATAGTTTAGCTGTTTAAAAATGTTTATTATTATATTAAAAACTCGTCATTGTTAGTCAATAACATCAGACCGTGTGGTCTTTGGACATCAAGCTGGATAAGCTATATTCAAAGAACTCTTTTTTTTCCTCCACTTCTAGCTCACTATATATTTAAAAATATTTTTCGCATTCTTAGAGTTTCCGACAAGTCCTTCTGAAATGATGTCAGGAAACTTCCTTTACCGCCATCTGACAGTCACAGTTCCAGTTGCTAGTTCCGTGCTTGTCCTAATAGTCGTATTTGTAGTTGTGTGCCAGGTGACCCGACGGAGGTCCCCTGGCCCACGCACCCACTCTCCAGAAGGTAATATATAACTTTTCTTTTTCTCCATTTTTTAGATTTATGTGTATACATTGATTCAATAAGTCTTGTTTCTAAAGGTTTTTGATTAAACGAGTTCCACTTAATTAACATGGTTGAATCAGGATTTCATCCTGGCATTTAATTACATATTTTTAACGTTAACTGGAGATAGGTGTCGCCCCCCCCCCAGTGGCACAGCTTCAGGCAGAACACAGATAACCCATTGTGTAGCTTTGTGCTTAACTACAAACAAACTCATTCAGCCCACAAGCGAACAATACGCTTGATAAGAGCTAGAATGATTAATTCTATTGAAGTGAAAAATAAGCTTAGAGTAATTATTTCTAAACATATTCAATGTACGATTCTAATATAAATATCTCTCTCTGGATGTGTTTCTGCCCTGTTGCGCCAAGATTACCCCTTTCTATTTATGGATCGAGACAACTACACGGCTTCTGTAATACGACAACAGGGTTTTATAATGGCCATCAAAAGAGAAGTGCCAACAATAATAACATGCACGCCGACCATGTCACTATAATTCCAGTTATTTAGTTATTCAATTCCTATACAATTATTAATAAAATATGACCAATGTATTCACGACACGAGTTCAAATACCGCCTTTAAAAGTAAAGATCGTATATATATATATATGTTCTATTTAGTAGGAGTTTTTTCTTCTCTCTATATATTTAGAGGCCCGGCATGGCCAGGTGGTTAGGGAGCTCGACTCGCAATCTACGGGTCGCGAGTTCGAATCCCCGTCCCACCA